AGAGACAAGGTCTTGCTCTGGCTCAAGCTGGTCTTAAACTCCTGAGCTCAGACAATCCACCCACCTCAGCCTCCGAGAGTGCTAGGATTACAGGCATACAGGCATGAGCCACTGTGCCCAGACTAATTTTTCTATTTTTTGTAGAGATGGGGGTTTCACTCATGTTCAGGCTGATCGTGAACTCCTGGCCTCAAGTGATCCTCCTACCTTGGTCTCCCAAAGTGCTAGGATTACAGACATGACCCACCACTTCCGGCCTTTTTTTTTTTTTTTGAGGCAGAGTCTCACAATGTTGCCCTTGGTAGAGTGCTATGGTGTCACAGCTCACAGCAACCTCCAGCTCTTGGGCTTAAGCGATTCTCTTACCTCAGCCTCCCAAGTAGCTAGGACTAGAGCGGCACCCGTGGCTCAGTGGGTAGGGTGCCAGCCTAAGGGTGGCAGGTTCAAATCTGGCCCCAGCCAGAACTGCAACCAAAAAATAGCCAGGCATTGTGGCGGGTGCCTGTTCTCCCAGCTGCTCGGGAGGCTGAGGCAAGAGAATCGCCTAAGCCCAAAAGCTGGAGGTTGTGTGAGCTATGACATCACAGCACTCTACCAAGTTCGATAAAGTGAGACTCTTTCTCTAAAAAAAGAAAATAATAAAATAAAATAAAATCCAAGTAGCTGGGACTACAGGGGCCCAGCACAACACTCAGCTATTTTTTGCTGCAGTTGTCATTATTGTTTAGCTGGCCTGGGCTGGGTTCAAACCCGCCAGCCTCTGTATGTGGCTGGCTACTGGTGCCAAGCCCTGGCCTGTACTTTTTAAAATACTAAATGTTGGCCAGCCTGGTGGCTCATGCCTATAATTCTAGCACTTGGGAGGCTGAGGCGGGTGGATTGCCTGAGCTCATGGGTTCGAGGCCAGCCTGAGCCAGAATGAGACCCCTGTCTCTAAAAATAGCCAGGTATTGTGGTGGGCACCTGTACTCCCAGCTACTTGGGAAGCTGAGGCAAGAGAATGGCTTGAGCCCAAGAGTTTGAGGTTGCTGTGAGCTGTGATACCATAGCACTCTATCAAGGGCAACAAAGTTGAGACTCTGTCTCAAAAAAATAAATAAATAAAATAAAATAGTAAATGTTTAGGTTTTTTAGAATACATGCAAAAATTATCATCTTAACCACTTTTAAAATTATAGATCAGTACTGTTAGGCATATTGCTATGCAACTAATCTCCAGAACTTTTTCATTTTACAAATTTGAAACTCCGCTCAGCACCTGTAGCTCAATGGCTAGGACGCCAGCCACATATACTGCAGTTGGCAGGTTCAAACCCAGCCCAGGCCTGCCAAACAACAATGACAACTGCAACCAAAAAAAAAAAAAAAAGAAATAGCCAAGTGTTGTGGCAGCTGCCTGTAGTCCCAGCTACTTGGGAAGCTGAGGCAAGAGAATTGCTTAAGCCCAAGAGTTGGAGGTTACTGTGGGCTGTGATGCCACAGTGCTCTACCAAGGGCAACATAGTGAGACTGTGTCAAAAAAAAACAACACCCCCCAAAAAAACCCCAAATTTGAAACTCTATATCCATTTCCCCGTCACCTTAGCACCTATCAATCACCATTCTGTTTCTGAGTTCGTATCCCACTCATACGAGTTTAGAGAGCTCATAGACAGAGTTGCCTTTTTGTGGCTAACTTCACTTAGCATACCAAGGTTCAACCATGTTGTAGCATGTGTCAGAATTTTCTGCCTTTTTAAGGCTGAATAATATTCCATTTTATGTACATAACACTTTGTGATATCAGCACCTCTTTCACTGACCCTTTTTTTGACACAGAGTCTTAGTCGCCCTGGGTAGAGCACCATGGCATCACAGCTCACAGCAACCTTAAACTCTTTGGCTCAAGTGATCCTCTTGCCTCAGTCTCCTGAATACCTGGGACTACAGTGCCCATCACCATGCCCAGCTATTTCTTTTTTTTTAAGAGATAGGATCTCTCTCTTGCTCAGGCAGGTCGTAAACTTCTGAGCTCAAGCAATCCACCCATCTTGGCCTCAAAAGTGCTAGAATTACAGGTGTGAACCACCACACTCAGCCTATACAGCCACTTGGGAAGACTATTCCATGGTTTTTGTTAGTTTGTTTGAGACGGAGTCTCACTATGTTGCTCTTGATAGAGTGCCGTGGCGACACAGCTCACAGCAACTTCAAACTTTTGGGCTTAAGTGATTCTCTTGCCTCATCCTCCCAAGTCGCTGGGACTACAGGCACCCACCACAATGCCTGGCTATTTTTTGGTTGTAGTTGTCATTGTTGTTTGGCAGGCCCAGGCTGGTGTATGTGTATACCAGCTCCAGTGTATATGGCTGGCACCCTAGCCACTGAGCTACAGGTGCAGAGCCTTTTTTTTTTGGACATGGAGTCTCACTCTGTTGCCCGAGGCTAGAGCACTGTAGCATCAGCCTAGTTTACAGTAACCTCAAAAGCCTGGGTTCAGGCACTCTTCTTGCCTCAGCCTCCCCAGTAGCTGAGACTACAGGTGCCTAACACCATGCCCAGCTAGTTTTTTTATTACTTATGTAGTGGTACACACCTGTAGGGAGGCTGAGGCAAGAGGATCACTTGAGCTCAGATGTTTGAGGTTGCAATGGGCTCTGAGGCCATGGCACTCTACTGAGGATGAAATTGAGACTGTGTCACAAAGTAGCTGTACACATCTTGCATTCCCATCAGCAATGAATGATAACTCCTGTTGCTCCACAACTCTACCAGCATTTCATGTTGTCACTGTCCTGGGTATTGGCCACTTTAATACAGTAGCTGCACAGTGGCCTCACTCTATGTGCATATCCCAGATAAGTGTGACACGGAGTCTTTTCACATACTCAGTTGCAGATCTTTTTTGGTGAGTTATCTGTTAAGGTCTTTGGCCCATTTTAAAATCGGGCTTTTTTTACTGTTAAGTTTTAAGATCATTATGGTTTTACTTGCATTCTCCTAAGGATCAGTGATGTTGAACATCTTTTCATACGCCTATTGGCCTACAGAGTTTATTTTGAGCACACTAAGAGCTACTTTATATTTTAAAAATGAATTTCACGTCTTTTAAGACGTCTGCTCTACCATTGGGAAAGTCCCTCTCCTCCATCAACTTGAGAAGTTGGCCAGCTGTGCTCAACAAACCTTCATGCACACAGCAAGCCTTCCTTGTGAAAACAGCCGGTGATGACAGATATAAATGGTCCTGTTATTGCAGAAAAGTGACAAGCTCGCCCCCTGGTGACAAATTGGGGAGATAACACAAAAAGAAAACGTACTATTGACTACACACACAATTTGAGACAAACCATCCAGGGAAGTTGATGGCAATGTTATGTTCAAGTCCCAGGTGACTCCTGGGTTTACATATTGACTCTAGCCATAGACCTAAGACAGTGTACTTAAGGGATTCTTTTATAGTAAATAAAAAATAAATAAAAAATTTAAAAAGAGGCTCAGCACACTTAGTACAGTGGTTATGGC